TTAATTAAGGATAAGGCAAACCTCTTCCCTTATGACCAACTTGAAACAATCCTCAATATTTGTGGTACCATAACTGGATGAAAAGTCCCATTAGGGTTTGCTATAGTGAAGATTTTATGTATTTACTTTATAATCTTATTTTTTAAAACTCATTATTCTATGTAGTGGGCTAAAGGTAATTCAAATAAATAAATAAATAGTGTGTGACATTTCAGTAACAGTGTTATTACCATCATCATTTAGTACTTTTGTCTGATGATGGTAACAACGCTATTTCTGAAATGTCACACACCATTGGATTTGGTCTTATTACCTTGTGCTCCTATAGCTTTGTTATTTGGTTTTTGGTACCATTTTGGGTAATGTGTTTATCAGCTAGAGGAAGGCCAACTTCCGATTGACCAATTGTTTCATTTTACAGGCTCTGATTTGATAACATGGATGGTTATACAAGAATTAAGATGGCTGTTGATGTCCTGAGATGTTAGCCTCACAACTACACACTCAGCAGAAAAATGAGAAACTTGTACATTTAATTGATAAGGCACAATTTGCATTATAGATTATGAACACAATGGTAATAAGACCAAATCCAAATAAATAAATAGTGTGTGACGTTTTGGTAACAGCGTTGTTACCATCTTCATTCAGCACTTTTGTCTGAAGATGGTAACAACGCTGTTACCGAAACGTCACACACTATTTATTTATTTGGATTTGGTCTTATTACTTTATGTCGTACATTTAATAATTGAAAAGGCATATATGTACTAGGTATCGGAAATTATATTATGAAATATTAAACACAAGGTAATAAGACCAAATCCAAATAATCCAAATTGTGCCTTTATCATTATAAAATATTTAAAGATGGGTTGCTCCCTCCTTGTCAGTTTTATATAGTTTTTAACTTAAACTGTGTGGAAACATTATAATAAGCGGTAAGGGCAGTAGAAATTGTTTAATATCAAAAAGAATCTTACGCCTTTAAAATAGTTTTGAATTTTGATAACAGACAGATACCTAAAAGAGAAACCAACACCTTGAAGTAACCACTATATCAGCGATGTAAAACTCCACCTAGTGACAGCAAGCTGTGTTCTGCCAGGTGGGGAACAAGACAGAAGGCCTCCACCCCCAGAACGGCCCTCCACCCCCCACCCTCACCTCCCCACAGGCTGCTCCGCTGGATAAACGACCGAAAAATGTCTTGACAGTAAGTCTACTTTTTTTTATGAGAAAAACTAGAGCTTTGCCCCCCCACATGTAGGAGCATTTCAAGAATCATTTAAACCTAAAAATGTGTCATAAAATCAAACTATTCTCATACTTCCAAAGTTTACCCTTACAGAATAAGGTGATCAAGAGTCTTTTAATACAAAGATTTAAGACTAATGTAATGCTCCAATGGCCCCCGATTCTTGCAAAAGTTCAACCCCACCAACGAGTGCAAGTAACCAAACGGGGCTCTAGCACATTTGTAGGTGCAAAGTCGAACTGCCATGTGTAGACATGTGGTGCACTTACAGTAAAAGCAGTCGCCTTCTACCTACCATGATTATCATGGCCTGTATCACGTGTACTAGGGATAAGCAAAAAAAAAAAGACTAATGTCAATGCGCAAAATTTTTGAAAACTCTCTGAAATAAATTTGGTTGTAAAAATTTACTAATAGAATAATAAAATAAATAAAATAACATGTGTTTATAGTATCATAAGAATCAAGCCCATTTTCTTATAATTAATATAGAATTTTGCCTTTTGGTGCAACCACTCCGCTAAAAACACAAGGTAATAGGGGACCAAATTCAAATAGTGTTTATAAACACAAGGTAATAAGACCAAATCCAAATAAATAAATAGTGTGTGACGTTTCGGTAACAGCGTTGTTACCATTCAGTACTTTTGTCTGAAGATGGTAACAACGCTGTTACCAAAACTTCACACACTATTTATTTATTTGAATTTGGTCTTATTACCTTGTGTTTATAATCTACTAGCGGACGTACCCGGCTTCGCCCGGGTTTTACCCGAGTAAGGGTTTGTCTAACGAACATTTGTTAAAACAATTCTCTATAAACTTATAAAAAAATAATAATAGATATATTTTGATAATTTGAAACTCATAAATTTGAATCTCTCAATAAAGTGAACATTTTTCCCCGGTCCCTTGTGTCATCTTGTCTCAAATAAATTGCCGTGTCATCCTGAATTTTGTATTTCCTAATTTTCTACATTACAAAATCATTGTTTTATCTAGTGAACATTTTTTCCCGGTCCCTTGAAAAATACTCGATAACTAACTTTGACCTGTGCGCAATTAATAGGTAGAAAATCTTTAAGATAATAAACTTAGTGATAATAAAACTTATAGATAAAAAAAACTTGTTATCATCGTCGCAATGGGGGCGCTGCTTGCGAGTTAAATCTACAAATCTGCAAATAACTCTAAGGATATTCAAGATATTCAAGAAATTATTTTTCAGAAACCTTCCCAGTACTATACTAAATATCTTCCCAAAGTTTCATGGCGTTCCAATGAGTGGTTTGGTCAGGCATAAAGGACACACACACACACACATACATTCATTTTTATATATATATAGATAATCCAAATTGTGTGCCTTATCAAATAGTGTTTATGTTTCGGTAACAGTGTTGTTAAACACACTTTATTTATTTGGTCTTATTACCTTTTGAAAAATAGTACAAATGTGATATTGCACTGGGATAAGGTGCATAATTTAAGAAAAAGGCATCTGAAGTTGCACAATAAGGAGATGCCTTTTTCTTAACTTATTACCTTTTGTTTTTAATCTATAATCCAAATTGCACCTTACCATTCAATTAAAAAAATGCAAAGCTGAATGGCTGAAGAACTTAACACTGATTAATTGAAGAGGTCACATGATAGCAGAGAACCAATCAGCCAGCAAATAAAGTACCAAGGTGTATGATAAAGCACAATTTGGATTATAGATTATAGCTACAAGAAAATAAGACCTAATATAAATAAATTAGTAGTGTGTAATGTTTCAGTAACAGCGTTGTTACCATCTGATGATGTCTGATTGTCTGATGATGGTAACAACACTGTTACCAAAACGTCACACACTATTAATTTATTTGGATTGGATCTTGTTACTTGTAGTTACTAAGGTGTATATTATAACAGATACCATTGTTAGCTTTCTTCATTATATGAAAGTGAATGCTTGCCTCTTTACAACTGTAGTTGGGGTTTCAGAACCAAGTACCATGTGCCATAGCCCTGTGTTCCTATGAGGCTAAAGAACCTGGGTAAGTTGCCGAACTGGTATTTTGGAGATATTCGAGTGTGTACAAAACTTGTGTTCTCAGTGAATGACATTTGACATGATATATATAAAAATACCTTTTGATTATTTTCATGCTTCACATATATTCTTCTATTTTTATGATTTATAATTTTCCTCCCACTGCACTACTGCTTATCTGTAAATACTAGCTATAAGAGAAGAAAGGAAGGACATCTCTCCTGTCAAAATTGATGCAAAAGCTATGCACATCTTTTGAATCTCTCTGCAAACTAGAAGATTTGGGTCGATGACATCAGCTTTGGGAAATTCAGAATATCCACTTAAAGACCACGGCTTCAGGTCAATAGCCTTCTTCAAACCAGAGTGGGCTTTAATTTTATGAGCTCCACAAGGGATTCCTCAGAATTTGGCAAAGAGATGTTTTGACTGCAAAGTGACTTAGCCAATTTTACGGCCAAATGTGCATAGTTTTTGCATCTAGTTTGTCAAATGTCCTTTCTTTTTATAGATAAAAATCCTCCTGGCACAGAATCCACATCTGTAAATACAAAGTTGAACCAACAGTATCAAAGTCCTGCTGGATGACCTATGCTTGAGACATACAGAATGATAACACTGTTGATATTGATCTTTAGTCCTCCCAAACATGTGTTAAAATTACATGGTCTCGTCACTTCTGCACAGTAGAGCTTTGAACAAATGTGTGTTGGCATTGCATTCCTCATGGCAGAGAATATGCATCAAATCTTACCAAGGACTTGGCAAATACCGGTGATAAAATTTGAGAAATTTTCTTAGAAATTCTGCCCAAACCCTCTACAGTTAGAACATTAAAAAAAACACCCATGTGAATATATTTTATACATGTGTGATATTTAGAATGTAGCTGAAGTAGCACAATGGTTGATGTATGTATCATGTGTGCTAAAGGAATGGACTGATGCTAAGGTACAATTTGGAATATAGATTAGAAACCCAAGGAGGGGGATAACAAGACCAAATCTAAATAAAAAATAATAATGTGTGGTTTCGGTAGCACCGTTGTTAGCATCATGAGACAAAAGTACTGAATCGAATCATTCAGTACTTTTGTCTGATGGTGGTAACAATGCTATTTTTGAGCTTGAAGGCCATCTCAATTTGGTCGATTAGCCTTAAAGAAAGCATGTATGGTAACAACACTGTTACAGAAACATCGCACAATTGGTCTTATTACCTTGTGAATGGATTAATGTTGGAAACTACTCTGAAATGAGCACTCTGAGCACAGTTGGTACAGGGGAGTGAACCCAGGAGGAGCTCTGAACATCAGACAGCATCAAACAACACTAACAAGATTTAGAACAAGCCAGACTGACTGCTATAGGGCGCGTCCCCAGGTGGCGGATAGGGGAACGACCTTCAGATATGAAGGCCAGCTGCGAAACAAGCAGAATAACTCTGACAAATAAGCAGTCGCGGACCAACAGCAGCATTGTTAGAAGAGGAGTACACCTCTTTAAAAATCCTGACTTCAACTGACTCGGTTGATGGACCTCAGCAAGGGTCCCACTCCAGGGATACGGAGGAGCTGCGTCTGTACTCATGTTAGAGTCGGCAGCAAAGGCGTCTGCTTCCATGTTAGGAACGGCCTCAAACTACAGGCAAAGTCAGACTTTCACCAAAGTGTGCCTGGATCATGGTGCCATGATCAACGAAAGCTGCACCCCTATACCCCATTCCATGAGATCAGATGTTGATTTGCATGCTGCATCGCCCGTCGCGCAGAATAAACAGGGGCGCGTTCAGGACTTAGGTAGAGGGTTCTGTCCGATAAGTATAATACAGTCTCCACAAACTTCACACTTTGCAACTTCCAAGCAATTGAGCATTCTACAGTGCAACATAAATGGATTGTGCTCAACAGCAACAAAAATAAAATTAGAAGAAATAATGGAAATAGCTGAAAAACAAAATATACAAATTATAGCCCTACAGGAAACCAAATTAAATGAAAAGTACAATCTCAAATATAAAAACTACAATATCCTCAGAAAAGACAGAAATAAAGAAGGGGGTGGCCTTGCATTTTTAATCAAGAATTTGTACTATGAAGACATAGCCATTAATATTCCAAACACATCAGACCTCGAAGCCCAAGGTATCAAAGTCTACCTCAATCAAAACAAAACCATCAACATATTCAATATGTATCACCCACCAAACAATAAACTTATTGACGATGGAACAATGGCTCAATTTCTTACAGACAACACTATTATTGTAGGTGACCTTAATGCCAAACATCAACTATGGGGATGTTCCACGCCAAACCCAAGAGGCAAAATACTTTCAAACTTATTTGACGACAATGCCTTCATGTGCTTAAATGATGGGAATCCTACCCACCATTCCTACAGTTATAATACCGCGCAAGCCCTTGATATAAGTTTCTCCAGTCCTGACATTTTCCACAAATGCAAATGGCAAATATTAAAAAGTATTGGAAGTGATCATTTGCCTATTTTGATAGAAATTAGCACCAAGACCAAAACCAGCTCAATTAAAGAAAAATTCTGGAACTTCAAAAAGGCTAATTGGAATCTTTACCAGCAAAACACCAATGAAGACTTTAGAAAAGCACCCACAAGAATAAAGATCTGGAACAAAATTGGATATCTTTCAAAAACACCATTATTAAAGCAGCCAAAGTTTCAATACCAAGAGGTAATATTAAGAAATGGATTCCAAATTATACACACCAGGCAAAAGATATTCAAACACTTATAACTAAAAGAAATGAACTACAAAAAAAGTGCACCCAAAACCAAACAAATTGTAGAACTGAATTGAACATTGTGAATGCAAAAATAAAAAGATTATATGTAAATATGAAAAGGGAAAAATGGAAACAAACTTGTGAAAACCTGAACCCAAGAAACCCAAATACAAAACTTTGGCATTTGGCAAAACAAATTGACAGAGCCCAGCCACAAACTGAAAACACAAATATGATTAAGAATACAGATGGTACCCCAGCAACTAATGACAAAAATGCTGCTAATCTTTTAGGTAATTCATATCAAATAAGTAGTAAAATCAAATTTGAAATAAAAGATAAGAAAGTTGAAAAAAAGGCCCGAAAGATTATCCATGACTGTAAAAACGTCACTAGCACTCATAATATTTTCCATGAAAAAATCAATATGAAAGAGCTAGATTATGCATTAGAAAACACTGACCTGAACAAGACTCCTGGGCCAGATGGAATCCATGGCCAAATGATATCAAACTTGGGCAAAAATGGCAAAGAAAAACTTCTTGATATTTTCAATAACTCCTGGAAAACTGGAAAATTGCCTCAAGACTGGAAAACTGCAACAATAATTCCTATTAAAAAACTTGACAAATCTGCTGATGACCCAAAAAACTATCGACCTATCTCCCTCACAAGTATTTGCTGCAAATTAATGGAAAAAATTATACTCAGACGACTCACCTACCACCTCGTCACAAGAAATCTCTTACCAAAAGAACAATATGGATTTAGGAAAGGACATGGGACCATAGACCAACTCTTATTTTTCACACAAAAGGTAAAAGATGCACAAAATAGAAAACCAACTAACCACACAATAGCTGCTTTTTTAGACCTTACACAAGCTTTTGATAAGGTATGGAAAAACAAGTTAATTACAAAATTATACAAACATTTCAAAATTGATGGAAAAGCTATCACTTGGATAAATGATTTCCTTAAAAATAGATACATCAGGGTCAAATATAATGGCACTCTATCTAAAACCTTCAAATTGTACCAAGGATTACCACAAGGATCAGTCCTTAGCCCAACTCTCTTCACCCTATTTATTGCAGGCATAGAAGAAAAAATTTCACATAAAACCAATATTGGACTTTTCGCTGATGACATTATTCTATGGAGCAGCAATACTAACTGGAAAAAAGCCGAAAGAGATTTGAACAAGACTCTTTTCCACCTAGAAAAATTTGCTAATAAACATAAATTAGAATTTAACCCCCAAAAATCTGAAACCTGTCTTTTTACTACCGATAAGAAACTATACAAAATAAGACCAAAAATTATTCTGAAAGAACAACAATTGCAATATAATAAACATCCTAAATATCTTGGCTACACCCTGGATCCAGAAATTAACTCCAGTAAACATATTGAAGAAGTTATTAGAAAAGGAAGAGACCGACTAAAAATCCTGAAATATATTTCAGGAAGAGAGTGGGGAGCCGATGCAACCACACTAAAATTAACTTACACATCTCTAATTAGACCTATCCTGGAATATGGATATCAAATCTATGGTACAGCATCTGAAACAAATCTAAAATCACTGGAAAGGATACAACTAAGTGCAGCTAGAATTATTACAGGTCTTCGAAATACCTGCCCTAATGATATTGTACTTTACGAGGCAGACATTATGCCCTTAAAGGATAGAAGAAGCTACAATCTGCCAAAATATATAAACAAAATCAAGAGTTATGGAAACAAACACAGAACTTCCAAGTACATACTTAATTGGGAATCCAATTTAAGACTCAAAAAAGAAGGCCCTCTACACCTGGCCAAAAGAAATGAATTTTTAAAATATAAAGTGGAAAAAAATTATTTAGCAGAAAAAATTTCTCCATGCAAACCACTACAAAATGTTACTTTTAATGCCACTTTAAATGAACCCACCAACAAACAATACCAAAATCCAGAATACTTAAAACAATTATCATCAGAAATAATTAATAACATTCCTAAAAATGCAATAACTATCTATACCAATGGTAGCAGAGACGAGCTAGGACACACTGGCAGTGGCTGTCTCATCAAAACCACAAATAGCATTGAGAAAATGAACAGAAGAAACCCAGATTTTTGCTCAGTCTTCAGATCAGAACTTATAGCCATCTATGAAGCCTTAAAAATCCATCAGAAATACTAATTATCAAGATATCTGGATTCTTACTGATAGTAGAAGTGCCATACAACACTTGAGTCACACAGGGGAACTCAGAGACAAAGTAAGCAGGAACATAATTGGTTATCTCCAAAAACTCTCAAAAACCTCAAAAATTCACCTTCAATGGATACCCTCACACGTTGGCATTGAAGGCAATGAAGCTGCTGATGTGCTAGCGAAAAAAGGCACAAAAGAACCCATGCCACAGAAAAATAAACTTACTTTTAAAGAAATAGAAACAATAGCCAAAACAAAAATAAACAAGAACTGGAGGATCCCACCTAAGCACAGTTGGTACAGTGGAGTGAACCCAGGAGAAGCTCTGAAGATCAGAAATAGACAGCATCAAACAACACTAACAAGATTTAGAACAGGCCATCTCAAGCCATTGAAGATAGAAAATAATAACAAAATTTATCCCACTTGCCCAAAATGTAGTTTGGTACCTGCAGCTCCAGAACACATTTTGGCTTGCATTAGATGCATGTAATATTATAAAGAATATTGTCTAATAAATAATTATGTACCATGTTGGATATAATGTATTCTGTATGGATTCAAATAAAGATGGCAGTCAAAGGACGTGGAGATGGAAGAAGTAGAAGAGAAAAGAACGACAGATCCAAGTCGTGTATCTAGGTCACTTAGAACAAAGAGGCCCTCATATTCCAGAGTTGAATGTCCTGAGAGATTGGGATGTTAGGCAAAGCTCCTTCCCGACCAAATTCACCATCATGGCCGACAGAGACAGGGACCAATCAAAGGTCAAGCAGGGTCCCACATGACCCAAGCCGGGGGGTGGGGCAACCGGAGTTCGGTCGGTGTAACGTGTGTGTCAAGACGTGTGTGTGCATCTTCTAAAAGTAGTGCCTCGAGGTCCAAGATGTGAGTCATCTCAATCCAATTTAATCGCGAAAATCCTTCCATCTCCTCTCCCGAGCCGCCAATGATTAATATTCCGAGGTGTTTTGTGATTCATTAATCGATATAGTGTGCCGATTTTTCATCCACCGCCATCGATAACGACTGCCCAAACATACAAAACCCCATCCACTCCCGAGGATTCTCAGGACAAAGCACTTTATCACAGTGAAGTCGACAAGCATTTTTTTTATATTATAGAGAGTCGACAAGATTCTCAGGATCCTTTTCCCATATATCACAGAGAGTCGACAGGATGGACGAGAAAAACGAAACGCAAAACGCGGAGGAAGACACCGCAGAGGGAGAAAACAACCCCGCCGTAAGTACTCCCAAAATAGAACCACCCCCTCCGTCGGCAGAGTTGCCGGCCGTCTTGGCACGCCTCGCGGCGTGTTTATCTGCCCTTCAGACCACCAGCGACCGCGTGACCCATCGGACGGAGATAGAAGTCCAGAGCTTCGACGGGACCTACCCAGCCGCCCAGTTCTTTCGGACATATGACCAGAAAACAGACTGGGATGGTCTCACCAACACGGAAAAAGTGCTCCGCCTACCCCGTTACCTGAACAACAAACCGCTAGAACACTTCAGGAGGCTTCGGATGGAGACCCAACATTACATCCAGGTGAGACAGACCTTCCTGGATCTCTATCCGGAGACCAATGAGGCCACGTATGCCCAATACTTCTCCATGAAGCTGGCCGGACAGCCCAACCTGGAAGAATACTATCGGAATAAGACCGCGCTGGGTCTACAACTGGGCCTCCCACAAGAGGTCATCTTGGAGACGCTCACCGAGGGGCTGCCACCCTCCGACCAGCGCCTCGTCCGCATTGTGCCGCCAGAGAACCTAGGTGCATGGTTCCGGCTGGTGCAGCGGATCCGCGGCAGCGGCGCACCATCTCCAAGGCACCCAGACGAGCACGCACCACCCCTACTGGGCCCCTACGCACCGGTGCGACCTAGTCCAAGAACAGTGCCAACCAGGTCGACCCCGCCAACAGACTGCCGTTTTTGTGGTGGACTACACTGGCACTCTGAGTGTCGTCTCAGACAAGCCCCGCAGTTGCCCCGTGCCTCCGGAGACGCACGAGCAGCGCGCTCCGCGCAACTAGCGGAACAACGGCCGCGAGCCCAGCCCCATCACCAAGCGTCACGCGCACAAGCCACTGGGATAACCAAGGGAGCCCCAGACCAGCAGCCAGCAGGTAGGCCTACTGACCAGGCCTTTCGTCAACCTGACAATTAGACTGCCAATCTCCCATGGACTGTCCCTACCATTCCTGATAGACACGGGTGCGTCCGTTAACCTAGTGTCATGTGCCATATATAAAAATTTAAAGAATAATTTCCCTGACCTAAATTTAATAACTAAAAAAATAATAAATTTACAGACAATAGATGGCCACGTGCCAACAATAGGCCAGATTACCTTCCCCCTGTCCATTCATGCCATAACCCAAAACGAAGTATTCCACGTGGTGGACGCCCCTCTACCATTTGGAATACTTGGTATTAATACCCTCCGTAAATTCAAATTAAAAATCGATTTTGCACATGGCACTATGTACCAACTCGACGCACCTTTGTCGCCCCTGACCTACCACTTTGCTGTGTTGCCCGAAAGGTGCACATATTGGGAATGCCAGGCGGACCTATGCAAGGCCCACACTATTTTTCCGCCTTCCGCCAACAATACCCAATATGCGCATTTTTCGGACAACACGTCCACAACCCAGGGACTCACCCAACCACCGCACCATGTCCAATCAAAGAACTTTTTTAGAGCCAACTGCTCTTATTATAGGGTCAAGGTACCAGAACAACCACCCAATGCCAACCTCTCACACCCCACCAAGGTCCAAACGGACCACCTTCACCATACACCCAAACATCCCCATTCCACACACCATTCCATGTACCACACACACCACCCATCATCACCAGAACACCTCCCAGGGATCCCCATAGACAATCAACCGCAGCCACCGTATCCACCTCAATTCCCGGCGCTATTGCGCCAATACCAACACGTGTTCTCCCGGAACAAATTCGCGGTCCCATGCCTAAAGGTTCCCCCAGTAAGAATCGCCACCAACTCCGACAAAGTCGTCACCATCCGCCCATATAGGGTACCGATATGCGACCAACGGGAAATACGCAGTCAGATCCGACAGATGTTGGATAATGACATCATTGAGCCGTCCTACTCCCCTTTCTCTAGCCCGGTCACCCTAGTGACCAAGCGAGACAAGACCAAAAGGTTTTGTATCGACTATAGGAAGGTGAACGAGGTCATAAGCTCCGATGTCCATCCACTCCCGAGGATCGAAGATATACTGGACCGTCTCGCGCGGGCCAAGTATTTCTCGACTGCCGACGTCTCCTCCGCATATTGGCAAGTGCCGATACACCCTGATTCTCGACCACTGTTGGCCTTCGCCACGATAGACGGGTTGTATCAGCCCACCCGATTGCCTTTCGGACTTAAGACCAGTCCACAGATCTATGAAAGGGCAATCAATCAGGTCCTGCAGGGGCACGGACTTGATTGTGTGGCGCACTATTTTGACGACTTTGTCATCTATTCGGAGACACTGGAGGAACACCAAGAACACCTGCGCAAGTTTTTCGCGTTCTGCGACGCGGAGAACTTGCAACTCAACCTCACCAAATGCGAGTTTTTTAGGCAGACCATCGAATTTCTGGGGTACACAATCACCGCTGGTACCACCACCCCACTTATCCGCAATACCGACGTAATCCACGCTATCCCACCCCCGAACAATCGCAAAACGCTGCAATCCTTCTTAGGCGCCGTGAACGTCTATAATAAGTTCATCCCGGACTATGCCCGTTTGCGGACCCCACTCAACAACCTTCTCAAGAAGGATGTGACGTGGGACTGGGATGACAAATGCCAAAAGGCGTTCACCAGCCTGAAGGAAAGCCTCACACAACACCCCGTATTGCACCTCTACAAGGATGAACTACCATGCCAGGTATATTGCGATGCATCAACACTTGGCATTGCAGGCGTCCTCAAACAAGTCCACTCCGCTGGGAAGGCCTACCCAGTCCAATATTTCAGCCGCGCTCTGCGTGTACACGAGCGGAACTACACCATCTCCGAACTAGAATGCCTCGCCATTGTCGAGAGCGTGGAGAAGTTCCGTGTGTATCTAATGGGCAGAAAATTCACCATATTTTCTGACCATCACGCACTGCAGTGGCTGAAGACGATCAAAAACCCGTCAGGCAGATTATTCCGATGGAGTTTGAGGTTATCGTGTTACGAATACGAAGTCCGCTACATAAAAGGAGCACAACAACATGAAGCGGACCTCCTATCCCGTAACCCGTTTTGTGGATTCTTAGACGCCACCCTCATTAAGAACCACCAACTCACTCCTTCGGGAGAATCTAAACTGACCATTGATCGAAACGGACTGCAAACCCTAAAGCGTAGAGGTGTAACCAAAATTGTCGTCCCTGACGCCCTCGTTCCCGACCTACTAACAAAGGTGCACAGTCGGTACAACCACCCGGGCATATCCCAGATGACCAGGCTCATCTCTCCCCAGTACTACTGGAAGGGGATGTCAGAAGACATCTCCAAAACCACCAAAGCCTGCGCCATCTGTCAGTCAACAAAACCCCCTCGAGGTCCCACGTTTGGGGAACTAGGACAACTTCCTGTGGCCACTCAGCCTTTTGACCTGGTCGCCCTCGACACCATAGCTGGACTTGCCAAATATGGTAACGCCAAAGCTTACCTCCACGTTGTGGTGGATCACTTTTCGCGCTACACGTGGACCTTCCCCTCAAAATCTACCAGCATCACCACCTATCAACAGGTGATAAAGCGAGTGTTGCAGGACGGCTCTCCGAAACGCCTACTCACGGATAGAGCGCCTGCGTTCACCTCACCAAAGTTCAGGAAGTTCCTGATTAACAGGAACATCCATCCCCTGCTCACCACCAGTAACAACCCCCAAGCTAATGGTCTATGCGAGCGCCTGAACGCTACCTTAACAGGCAAACTAAGGTTACTCCATTTGGAAAACCCCAAAGCCGCATGGACTAAGCTGGCGAAGCGCGTTACTGTGGTGTATAACAACACGCCCCACTCAGTTACCGGGTTCCCACCTGGCTACCTGATGTTCGGCGTTCTACCTCCCGAGCTCACTGAGCATGTAAAACCCTACCCCGTTTTAACCACAGCCCGACGGATAGCCCATGAACGTACCCAGGCCAAGCACCTCAAAGACAAACATGCCTACGACCAACAACATAAGACACCCCATTTTGAACCCGGAGATCTCGTGTTGGTAAAAGTTTACCATCACCCCAATACAGGCAAACTGGCTCCGTATTTCACGGGTCCCTACGAGATCTTAGAGATCATCTCTCCCAACGTGGTGAGAATAAACCGACCCAACCAACCTCTAAATCGGAATACCGACACAGTCCATGTAAATAAATTACAGTACTATAACGAAAATATTCGTTATATCGCACCTCCCACTCTGATACCACACCCTGCTAAACCCCAATCTAGGACGCTACCACCACTGTTCGAGCACCTCACCCCAGACCTCTTTACAGTTGAGCGCTTTGCTCCTACAATAGGCAATTGTACCACTACCACCCCTGTTGACCCACAATGTAACGTTATCGCCCAACGCGATATTCCCCAACCTGCAATATCCCGTCCAACCCATATAACCAAAGTTAAAACCCCAATCCCTACAGTTAGGGCTGATCCCAAACCAATTCCCTTACAGGCAAGGTTTTTTCATAACGTGAAAACCTTCCCCTTGTTCCACCTCCTATACCTCATCAACCTTTTCATCCTACCCACTGTACTATTACCCATGGCCACCCTACTGTATGTCAGTGTCTATACACTGCAGCCCAACCGTCTCTTCCAACTACAGGAAGCCCTATTCGAAATAACCATCGCCGTAGTGGAACTAATCCATCGAACCATAGGAATAATTCTCCCGGAGTTATGGACCATCCTTGTCCACAGTCATGCCTTGGTCGCTCTAATAGGTGAAATCATAGGAGAGATTTTCCAAACCCTCTTTAGAGCGCGCCAAGTCGAATAGCAATCTCCCCACCTTTACATCACTCATCGATCACCCCGCTGTCAGCTGGCGTCCACTTTACAGAAACCTTCCGCCGCGCCGACGTCACGTCCTTTCCGATCACGTGACTGACGTCACATCCTCCCTGCGGAATGTAAACAAACCCGCCGTCACTTTTCGCGTGTCACCACACTTAAAGTTACTTTCTGGAACATACACTCACACACACTCGCATACATTCACGCACCTATATAGTTTTGGCAACCTTATGACCTACGACCCTATAATAAACAAAGATTGGACATTGTTATGTAAAAAAATATTCTTCTTTTGTGTATATTTTTGTTAACCAATTTTAAAAGACTTGTACACAACCAGCACTTTTATTTTTTTTTATTTTAATTTTTTATTCCCACCATCCATGTCTATCACCCTTTCAATTTCTTAATCACCTCAAGTTTATTTTTTCCTTTTATTGTTTAAACCTTGTTTTGTCCTAACTGAATGAACAACTGACCTGACGCAATACTTCTCATGTATCAGCCTTCAGTTTATCATACAGGAGCTTTGATTTCTTTTTTTTTTTTATGTTTTGTTTATATTTTTTCACCGCCCCAAAGGCTAATCAGATTTCTTTTTTCTTTTTTTTTTCCTCCATCTCCAAATTTTATTGTCTATAGTTTTCTTTTATTTCTGTTAATGTCTTATATGTTTTGTTTGGATTGCACCTCATAGAGTTTCCCTTGCTGTGGGTTTCCACACAGCAAGATTGAACACCTATGCAGGCAAAATTTTTTTTTCCTCTAAAAAATTATCATATTTTTTCCTAGTTTAGCAAGCACCCCTATCTACTCAAATTTCTTTTTATTACTTATTTCCATCATTTACTTTCTCCCCAATTGTATCTAACCACTCACTATTTTAAAAAATTTTATTTTTTTTTCTTTCCCAAAAAATTATTTTTCTTTTTTCAGAATTTAATACAGATCCCTTTTAAAATTCTTATTCATAGGGGGCGCATCTGTAATATTATAAAGAATATTGTCTAATAAATAATTATGTACCATGTTGGATATAATGTATTCTGTATGGATTCAAATAAAGATGGCAGTCAAAGGACGTGGAGATGGAAGAAGTAGAAGAGAAAAGAACGACAGATCCAAGTCGTGTATCTAGGTCACTTAGAACAAAGAGGCCCTCATATTCCAGAGTTGAATGTCCTGAGAGATTGGGATGTTAGGCAAAGCTCCTTCCCGACCAAATTCACCATCATGGCCGACAGAGACAGGGACCAATCAAAGGTCAAGCAGGGTCCCACATGACCCAAGCCGGGGGGTGGGGCAACCGGAGTTCGGTCGGTGTAACGTGTGTGTCAAGACGTGTGTGTGCATCTTCTAAAAGTAGTGCCTCGAGGTCCAAGATGTGAGTCATCTCAATCCAATTTAATCGCGAAAATCCTTCCATCTCCTCTCCCGAGCCGCCAATGATTAATATTCCGAGGTGTTTTGTGATTCATTAATCGATATAGTGTGCCGATTTTTCATCCACCGCCATCGATAACGACTGCCCAAACATACAAAACCCCATCCACTCCCGAGGATTCTCAGGACAAAGCACTTTATCACAGTGAAGTCGACAAGCATTTTTTTTATATTATAGAGAGTCGACAAGATTCTCAGGATCCTTTTCCCATATATCACATGCACTAAACAGGACCTTTGGGAGAGGCCGCTGCTCATCATAAAACAGCTCGAGGAGCATGAACTCATGGAATTCGTGTAATCTTTACACAAGGGGATAAGAAACAACAACAACAACAGAACATTAAAAAAAAATTTTTTTTTTTTGGGAATCTCTTATTTTTTATTCTCTTATGCAAAGGTTACAGAAATTCCATGAAGAATGCTCCTTGAGCTGTTTGATGATAAACATCTGCCTCTCCCAAAGGTTATTTTGTGAATCTAGATTTTGTATGTATGTTGCCTGCCTTTGCAGGTTCATTGAAGCATGATTACATGAAAGCTTGCCCCTTTTAAATAAGAAAGAAGCTCTTTGTAAATATTTTCATATTTGATATTTATTGGCAAATATTGCACTAAACAGGACCTTTGGGAGAGGCCGCTGCTCATCATAAAACAGCTCGAGGAGCATGAACTCATGGAATTCGTGTAATCTTTACACAAGGGGATAAGAAACAACAACAACAACAATTGGCAAATATATTTCAAAAATTATGATTTCGGCAAGGTTTTGAAAAATATGTCACACAACAGTTCCTGAGTGGTTCAAATATTTCCAAATTGGCTTCGAAATGTCCAAAATGAGGAGCATACCAGGAGTAAACCTACAGCCAGCAAAACTGATCAAAGCAACCAAGTGGTGCATTCAGCTCTGCTTGACAGTGCCGGTTGAACTTCTATTTGTGATTTATCTGAAGTAAATATGTAAATTGTTAGACCAGTTGATCTTGTGATTCTTATCTATAATCCAGATTGTACCAGTTCATACCTAGAGTTGGGTTGACTTGTGCAGGCATCTGTCCTTCAGGAAGGGAGATATGATCGGGCTGCGGGGGCGAGCCGGCCCCCTGTGGTACCAGGGGGAGATGGGGGGCAAGGTGGGCATCGTGCAGGCCTCCATGCTGCAGGTGCACTCCTCCCTGGGCCCACCCCAGTGCCAGGCTCTCTATGACTTCTCCCCCTCCGACACCACCAAGGACTGCCTACATTTCTCCAAGGTATCCTCCCATATTATATATATTTATTTAGTAAACTTTATTTTTTGTTTTAAAAACACAGTAAAACCCCTCTATGACGAACCTCAATGGTACTGAACCTATGGTTCACTATAGTCATGGTTTGTTATAGCCATAGTTCACTTACAGTAAAAGCAGTCGCCTACTTCTACCCACCATGATTATCATGGCCTGTACCACATGTACTAGGGATAAACAAAAGAAAAAAAAAGTTTACATGCTTAACTTATTTGGTGTCTTTGTCTACTTCTTTGATTTTTTTTTATTCCCTCAGTAATGTGTGCCCTATTTATTTGTAGTACAATAGATCTACCTACCTGTGAAGGACAACACCTAGTTGTATAGCCAAAGTGTCCTTTACTGGAGAGTTGTTAATTGGTAATTTTGGAGATGAAAACTGTCCTTTGTAGAGAGGTATCCTCTAATTGGAGTGTCCTCTTATAGAGTATCTGTTGTACTGTAGTAATGTGAACTGTGTGTCTGACCTCGCCTGGATGGTGCAGGGGGACAGAATCCATGTGATCCGACAGGTGGATGAGAACTGGGCAGAGGGAAAGTTTGGAGACAAGATTGGGATATTCCCCATCTCCTTTGTGGAGGTGAGTGCAGGGTTCTCTCCCAAGTCTCTGTCAGCATATCTACTGTACAATTCTTGATTTTAGATTACTTCGCACAAAGGCTTCATGTACCTCTCTATCCTCATATTTCATACATGAGAAAAAAATACAATTCCTCTATGACTTTTTCATGCTGTTTTGCTTTACTGAGAAAAATATTAAGAAAAAGGCAATATATGCAACTACTCACCCAGAAAATTAATTAGAATATCTCTTTAGAATTACATTATTGATCTAATGGCTACATGAAATAAGACTTAGTCCAAATGAAATTAATATTAATAATAATTAATTATTTGGACTAGATCTTATTTTCTTGTAGCTATAATCTACTAGCCAAATGACCCGGGCAACGCCCAGGTTTTACCCGATTAAATGCTTTTATTCAAATACTATTCGTTACAATTATAAATTGGCGCCATGGATGTCATTCTTGTGAAACGTCCCACTCCAAACTTTGAGTCTGAGAAGCGATATTTTTATAAAGAGATGATCTGGCTTTGTGTCTTCTGCTCAAATGAATGTTTTTCTGTTAGAATTTTGTTCCTGCATACTAAAAATGAACTGGCTTCACCCGTGGTCTCTGCTTTTTGGAATTTTTCCGGATATAATTTTGTATCTGATAATCAAATATGATACAGCAATATTGTCATAATCATTTTCTGACTAAAAAAAAAACAACTATTTTTGCCCAGAACCTGTCAATTTCAATTTTTCTTGGCTAAAAATGCGGCGAATATCTCTTCCATATTTTTTTCTATGTCCTGTTAAAACACGTTTTACATGTACATTAGGTCAGCTGATATTACCTCCCATCTTCACCGCTAGAGGCCCTGCTTGCGAGCGAAAGAGCAAATTTGCAAATAACTCGAAGAATATTTGGGATAGAGACCTGAAATATTCAATATAAGTTTTTCCAGATTCTACTATACATACTGCTAAAATTTCAGTCATATTAGTTACGTATTTTACGTATATTACGTAAAAGCATTCCATTCACAAAAGCAAACGATGACAGAATTGATGACTCTGATACTTGTATATTTTAATAATAATATGGGGGTTGGTGGAAGGCTGGTTAAACCGTTTGGTTTTCGACCACTAGGACCCGGGTTCGATTCCCGCATTAGACACTTTTTTCTGTTTAAAAAAAAAAAATGCTCCAATGGCCCCCGATTCTTGCAAAAGTCCAACCCCACCAGCGAGTGCAAGTAACCAAAAGGGGCTCTGGCATTTGTAAGTGCAAAGTCGAACTGCTTTTCACATGTATAGACATGTGGTGCGCTTACAGTAAAAGCAGTCACTAAGTACCCACCATGATTATCATGGCCTGTACCACATGTACTAGGGATAAGCAAAAAAAAAAATAATAATAATATAAATGAGTTTTAAAAATTGTAAAAAAAAAAAAAAATGCATCGGCCGGGAATCGAAACCGAGCCGCCCGCGTGGCAGGCGAGCATTCTACCACTGAACCACCGATGCTTATAAGAAATGGCCATATTTGGGTATTTATTCCATTCACAAAAGCAAACGGTGACAGAATTGTGCATGACTCTGATAACTGTATATATTAATAATCCAAATTGGGCTTTATCAATTGCATCTATAATGATATGCCACTGTTTAGGCACATTTGAGCTGCTGCCCACATTGTAATACCTTCCCTCTGAAGATCTATCTAGAGCAGCAAACAATTCAAATCTTTGTCCACTATAAAGTTGGGTGTCAAACAATGAATTATTTTTTTAAAATTTTACACAAATAAATTTACTGGCAATGCGTTTCTTTTAAATATCATCAAATAATTATCTCTACAGACCTTACTGCAATGATGTGAGTAATTGAATGAGAGGGCTTGGCTCATCAGTAGTGAACCCTCTCAGCGGTTTCGCCAAATTAATCTCTAGACCGCTCTACTATTGTATTGGACTGGTTTTGTTATATACCCTGCATTTTATATGGAAGGCAGCTTAGGGGTGTTTAACCCCTAAACACCCCTAAGCTGCCTTCCATAGATAATGCAGGGTATATAACAAAACCAGTCCAATACAATAGTAGAGCGGTCTAGAGATTAATTTGGCGAAACCGCTGAGAGGGTTCACTACTGATGAGCCAAGCCCTCTCATTCAATTACTCACATCATTGCAGTAAGGTCTGTAGAGATAATTATTTGATGATATTTAAAAGAAACGCATTGCCAGTAAATTTATTTGTGTAAAATTTTAACGATAGATGGCAATAAAATTTAATTTACAAATTATTTCTTGTTGACTGCACTAATAATGCATGCCACTTCACAGATAAATGTCGAAGCTACAGTCTCTCTGAACACCCCTAAATACTTTTGAATGAGGAATGGGGGGTAATTGTGTAACCTTTACAAAAGGGGATAAGAAACGACACAACAAATACTTTTGAATCCAACATTGTCTCTCTACACCTTCTTTCACCATCTACTTTGGGGACTTATGTAACTAATCTTTGCATATGTTTGTGACATATTAGACTGCACATATCCTTGCTCATACTTTCTTTGCCCACTTTCAGGATAACCAACTTTGGCTACACCCATCCAATTGGAAATACCTTGGAAGCCAGTAACAATGATCCTTTTCCTAGCAAATAGTCTATAAATATTCTATGTATTTGATAATGTGTAATCAATTCCTGTATAGGTGTATTGAATACTAATCTTCTTCTTTCTTATCTCCACTCAATCATATTAAGGTATCAAGTTGTGACCTGTTTGACAACCATCATGACTGGGTGAAGTAGAATATGTCTGCCTTTGTCATTAAGACTGGGAGCACTACTCAGTGGCAGGCCGACTTAGCTCCAAAAGAAATGGCCGCCTCTGACATGAGGAACAGACGCCATGTGCAGCCGCTCCTAACATGGAGTACAAACGCTGCTCATCCTGTATCCCTGGATTAGAAGCTCTTACAGGGTACTATCAGCCGGGCTAGCTGAGCCCAGGTTTTTTAGCGAGCTTGTTACTGCTCCCCCTCCTCCTTTTTCATCCGGGCTTGGGACCGACAAAGGCGGAGTTAAGACTAATCTTAAATGGGATTGGTATTCTACAAATTCCTGTGATGTACATTTCTGTCAATATACACTCTGGAGGGCAGTGGTATCTACATCTACTGTAGTGTAATCCCTAACTATTATTGGGCTCTAGAAAATGGAACAGAAACAATTTCCTCATCACTTACTGCATTGTGAAGAATATTTTGGGAGGTCCTGGTTCATCAATTTTCCATTTTATTTGCAATATGAGTAGTAGGAAATTGTTATACAGTAGAATCTACCTTTTTCTAAACCTAGTTGCAGAGTCAAAGTGGTCTTTAGAGAGAGGTGGCTTCTCACCAGAGAGCAGCTGATTAGTAAAAATGGTCATTTTGGCGATAAAAATTGTCCTTTGTATAAAGGTGTCTTCTAACAAGAGGGTTTTCTCATACTGTATATTTGGAGGATAAAAATGGTTGTTGTTGTTGTTTCTTATCCCCTTGTGTAAAGGTTACACGAATTCCATGAGTTCATGTTCCTCGAGCTGTTTTATGATAAGCAACGGCCTCTCCCAAATATCCTGTTTAGTGCATCTAAGGTTGTGTTGTTTCCTATATCTACAGATGGTCCATACTTACCTTGTGATGCTGTGTTCTAGATGAATGCATCTGCCAAGGCTCTCTTGAAATCAAGGTGAGACTTCTTCTTTTACCATCTTAAAATACAAACACCCCCACAATACCTCTTCCATTCACACACACACACACATACACAAAAACCTTTATTAAGACACACAGGTCTTACAGAGGATTCTCCTTGGGGTTACAAGACGGAGAAACCTATGAAAGTGGGAAATATACAAAGGGGTAAAAATGGAGAAAGATTATATACACATGGTAAATATTTACAGATTATTTGAATAATCCTATGGAAAATAAGAATTTTTTTTTTTAAATATGGATGGGAGAAGTGGAGAGCGAAAAGAGGAAAGAAAACAGGTATTTACATATGGAACATACATATAATGGAACAAGTCAATTTAAGCTCTTCTGCTCACACAGCACAGGTTACCTCTTCCATTCAAACACTTAACATAAATTGAGAAAAAAAGGACATTTCCCAATCGTGCAACTAAAAGTTGCTGAAGGCTTACGCCATAGTTTCAATTTCTTATTACAGATGGCCTGCATCATACTTAACATAAAGTGCTTGAATAATTTGAAATCACTTATTCCTCCCAACCTCCAGTCTTTCTTTAGCATAACTTCCACTTACATTTTGCTATGTTCTTCAACCTACACCTAAACATTATTCTGAATTTCTATCGCATATCTATTATTTTGTGTCCATAAGGGGAAATACCTCAGTTAATCCTAATCTTTCAAATTCAATAATTTTTCTTTATCTGGGCAAAAAAATCCAGTTATCCAGTTAGCCCGTGCTATTGTCTGTTTAGTGCATACATACAGAGGTCCATTGACTGCCACTTTGGATGCTCTCATCCAATTAGGAACCTATTAGCACCTGTCAGTGTGTGTGGAGACTGTCAACTGTAGTTAAGAGATAACTTTTGCTGGATAGATGGTTGAACCTCACTGTAACATCACTTGGGACCATGATTTTATGTTGCCGTTGTAACCATGGATAAAATAATTGGAACATAAAACTTGGGACATTAGGATGTTATAATTGGTGTTATAAAAGAGGCTGTTGACGTTCCATTGCAACTGTGAGGACGTGTACACTTGTTCTCTAACAGTACTGTTTGTTGGTGTTTTTGGGGGTAAAAAAGAGAAAATGTTACTTAAATATATTTTTAATGTTATCTTTATGCATAGAAACTACAAAAGTAAAATTTAAGAATTAAGAAGAAATACAAAAGAAAAGGATCAAGAAGGCACTAACTCAGTTGCCAATTGTTAATCATCATATGCTAGCTAATGTTATCATCATCAATTTATATTTATTCATATATCTATATAATTTATTTACATAGAGAAAAATTCTTTGAATTAATATAACTAACACTGTTGATCCAGTTCCCACCGAGCTACCTCAGGAGGCAACAACCCAGTCATCTACTTTGTGCCTCCCAAGCCGCCCACCACAGGTGAGATCACCAGCGTGGACTGACATCTTGCAACAGCACTGGTGGGTGTAGCAGGTTCCTCCAGCAGCCGGGCCCCTGAGAGCGGGGACCTGAGTTCTACCCCCAGCCCGCCCTCCTCTGCTAGTCCCACCTCCCCGCCCTGCCAGCTCCGCCCCCAGAACAAGCGCCACTCCGCCCCGCCCACTGCCCACCATTCTGTGGAGATCCTCACCTCTGCCACCTGTGACAACCTCGAGCCACCTCCGGCTTCTTCAGCCGGGGATATACCGCCGGTACTGTGCATTGATTTCTTTTAGAAAGTTGCCTCTTTCTGGATGGACACAGCTGGTACTTTGATTTTCTTTGGCTTTACAGAATTCTTATCTGTTGAGCTGCCTTCTCCATTTATTTTTCTTTGGGCAGACATGTTGAATAGCAGTGTGCAAGGTGTGACACCATATTGTATTCTTGATCATCTCTCCCTAGATACAGGGAGTTTATAGCTTGGAAATATTCATCTTGTGATTTTTATTATAAGTTCATTGAACTCTTTCACTTATCTATAATTTTATTAAATAATTAAATATACAGTAGAGAAATTCCATAAGATGATACTCTCGCTAGAGGACACCTTTACAAAAGACAGCTTTCATCGCCAAAATAACTATTTTTACTATTTACCCACTCTTTGGTAAGAGGATACCTCTCTCTGAAGGTGGCTCTGCAACCAGGTGTTCTCCTTTTTTAGAGAGAGATGCTACTGTTTTCTCACTTTTGCTCTAAAATGTTTAGTATCGTTACTTTAGAGATTATTTATTTGCTTATAAATAGGATTGTGATATATAGAGATAAGCCAGGTTCCTGATTTGCTGTTAGATTCCATCGAGTTTAACCTTTGATGATGTTGCGGTGTCATTAGGTGTGTCTGAAGTAGGTCAGTCTCTGTTTACATATTTGGGAATCTATTGGAATCAACCAGCATTCATTCAATACTGGAATATTGTTCTTCTATGTGTCCATGGTAGACTATGTCCACATTTCAAAGGCATCAATTATTTGTCTTCAGAGAAATGCCTTTAAGAAACTTGTTCAATTTCATCAAAGTGCTCTTGACCTACCTCCAGTTCATTAAAGAGTGTGAAGTGTATCCTCTGCCTGAGAGATGTTTATTGAGGTCTCTTGCATCTGTCCTGCTTGTCCCTTTCAACTGATGTGACTGTTTCCTGTCCCCAAGAATCATGTCATCCTGCTCCATGTGTGCTGTATGTTTGCCAACAGTGGGACCGCCGCCGCCACGCCATCAGTCTACCCTCGGACAACGTCCCTCCCTACGACTCCTCTCAGTCCTCCAACATGTAAGTCCAGGCATTGCTGCTGACTCTTAGTGCTGTGATGTCTTCTTCTTCTTCTCTATCAATACTGCAGTCAAACAGCCTCTTTAATTCAACACCCCGGGGGAAAGGTGTTTCCTGTTGAATTAAAGTCGGTTAAAGTAGACAACTTGGTAGTTGAAAACCATTTGAATCAAAGAGGTTCTACTCTGTATTTTCAAATTTTTCTTTGAGAGGGAACTTGTGAAAATTAAAAGATAAACTTTAGAATAATTTCCTTAATTCCCAACCATCTATAATTAAACACTAGGTATATTTCAACCAGTTTACCAAATTACCTATTTAATCTAAATGACTGCGGACTTCAATGGGAGGAGGGTTCATATAAATGAGAAAGGAGATTACTTGTAGATTTTTTTCCATTGAAATATATCTTTGTTTGCCAGTTTAGAATAGGGCAGTAGATGATATCATAGCTCTCCACAACATTGCTGGTTGTATACACACAGTGGCTTCTCCAACTTGTCTCTGTATTCCTTCGTGTGTAGTAAATCTATAGAAATTATCACATTCTCCGCACTTTCAATAATTTATTGAAAATCCCTGAGCTTTTGAGTTGAATTACTCTTCTTCAGGTGTTTGCTCTTAGTTTTCTATCTTTAGTCCTCTATAGATGGAAATTTTACTCTGAGGAAATTGATCTATAAACACACAGAGTGCCTCTCCTGTCAAAATAAACATCAAAACTGGATGCTGTTTATTGACCATCAAACTAGCGGCCTTGGGTCAGTGACAAAGCCAACAGCACCAGCTTTGGCAAACTGGTGT